GGCAGGGAGCTTTCAAATTTTCATGTCAGCATCAACAGCCAGACTCTTTCTCACTGGAAAGCACAATCCAAGAGCCAATTCAAATTCTGACCATCCCTAACAGACTGACCATCTCTTCCACGAGATTCCAGTTGCCATTCAATATCTGCCAATTGCTTGAGCATAAGCCTGTTCCAGACTTGCTGGTACTTGTTCCCAGATACTGATCTCATCAATAGTCAATGTCTGCCATATATTTAAACATAATACCCCTCCTCAGTGACGAAATGTCCGCAGAACCTTTTGATTGGGAAGCAACCTGTAATTAACTTCCAGGCCTGGCCTCATGAATAAACAAAAACGTGTTTGGTCTGTTTTCCTTTTAACACAAGCTGTTATCCACGGCTCAATATTGATCTTTAGCTTAGAGTTCCCAGTTCACAGCTCCAAACCAAAATTGGTCAAAGGATAAAATATAATTATTAAAAAATCAGCAACGTCTCTGACTCCACATAAATAGAAAAAGAGTGGTAAAAGAGAGTGGGGCTGATTAAGGACCATAAAAAGGGATTTACACATAAGGGACAAGGCATGGCTAAGATGTTAAATGACTGCATTTGTTTTTAGAAAGGAAGCAGATGCCATTCAGGCCCTGGTAACAGAGGTGGAAAAAATTAGAATTGATAAGGAGGAGGTATAGGATAAGGCTGCAGGTACTTAAAGTTAATAAATTATCAGGATTGGATGGGGTGCATCCAAGGATATTGAAGGATGTAAGAATAGAAATTGCAGAGACACTGACAATAATCTTTCAATATTCTCTAGACTCAGGGATCATGCCAGGGGTCATTGTAAATTTAGCATTCTTGATCTAGGATGGGCCCAGCAATTTCAGACCAGTCAGTCTAACTTCAATGGTGGGGATAATTCTTGAAGCAATTATTTGGAATAGAATTATTAGTCATATGGACAAATGTAAGTTAATTATGGAGAGTAAGCTTAGATTTCTTAAAGAAAAACAGAGAGAGTAAGTGAGGGGAATGCTGTTGATGTGGTGTACATAGACATCCAAAAGGCAGAAGAGGAGAAGGTGATTGGAGTAGAGGGGATGAGTTTCGGGACCCTTGCTTTTCCTGATATACATTAATAATCTCGGTCATAGAGGAGACGATTTCCAAGTATGCATCTTAACCAAACTTGGAAGCATTGTAGACTATGGAGAGGGCGCTGTAAAACTACAAAAAGACATTGACAGGTTGGTGGAGTGAGCAGGTAGGTGGCAGATGAAGTTCAATGCAGAGAAGTGAGAGGTGATACAATTGATAGAAGGAACATGGAGATACGGTATAAAATTAAAGGTGCTGCCCTAAATGGTATGCTGGAGCAGACAGGCCTGGGTGTATATGTACATAGGTCACTAAAACTGACAGGACAGATAGAGCAGTCAAGAAAGCAATGACTATCCCATCCTGATTAAAGGAGATATAGAAACAGGAGCAAGGAGCTTGTGCTGAACCTGAAGAACACATTAGTTGGACTACAGTTGAAGAATTATATACAGCCTAGTAAGAAGGTTATGAACACATTGGAGAGAATGCAAAAGATGTTTACAAGAGTGGATTCAGTAATGTGAAACTTCAGTTATGAAGCATAGGTCAGAGAATTTGGGGCAGTTTTCCTTGGAGAAAAGATTTGACAGAAGTTTTGAAAATCATGAAGGTTCTGGGCAGAGCAGATGAGTTAGTCTCATAAAAGAATCAAGAATGAGAGGGCACATATATGAGCTAATTTGCAAAAGAAGCAATAGTGATGTGGGAAAAACATTTTCACACTGTGACTGGTTAGAGGATGGAATGCTCTGTCTGGAAATGTGGTGAAGGCAGGTTCAATTGATGCATTCAAGAAGACACTAAGTGGTCATTTAAGTAGAAACAATATTTACAGTTATGGGGGGAAAGCGAGAGAATGGCACTAAGGCACAATACTCAGTCAGAGAGCCAGTGCAGATACAATGATATCCATGACCTCCTTTGCACTGTAACAATTCTGAGACTTTGTGGATTAACTGTGCTTTATGGAATGGGATAGGATAGTGCTGTCTGATCTATTCCTGGATCTTGTGCTTGCTCCTGATGCTATGAAAATAACTGGTCAAAATGCACATGAATTTACTGAGCCATTCGCATTAGGCTGATGATCATAGCTTATGAATTCCTCCATTTTTGGGGGTTTGCAACCTACATGTTGGCATAAAATATTCACCAATTGATTTGTTCCGACGTAGTGACGAGGCTAAATTTTCCTCTGCCATATTTTTAGTGTGTGAAGGCCCAAATTTGTCTGTTTAGGTAGATATGAGTAGGCACAAAATTAACAAATTGATCACATCAGAATGATAACAGATAGAAAAGATCACGTTGCAATGCGATCTATGAATGAAGTATTAAAAAAAACCAGCACCCCCATTTTTAAGTGTTTCTTTAGCTCAGGAACATAATGATGGAGTGGCCATGGATTTGAAGCTATGGAACATGCAGGCAAGTCCACAGGAAAATATAAAAACCGGTCAAATGTTCAAGATGAGGGACAAGTAGCCAGGGCCATGGATAAGAGTAGAGATATTAGAGAACTAGAAAATGCAGTTCCAGTACTGATTCAGGGCATTCCTTCAAAACAAAAAGGCCACATACAGCAGATGTCTTGATAGGACAAGTCCAGACAGGTCTCAACATAAAAAGTGAGGCCATAGTTGGACAAGGCAACCATAGACAATGGAGAAACTTCTGAGACAATCGATAACAGTAGAAATTCCCATGATAGAGAAGTGTTTGTGTCTAGATCTAAAATGGATGGTAGGGTGTAGAAAAAGGCTAAACTAGAAGTTACAGAACTGGAAAGAATTCTGAGTATATTTGGAAGTTGAAGATAGAGGTCAAACTGCTTTGTCACATGGGAAGATACGGCTAAGATCCACCAGATTGGGCCTACAAGGACAAGGCTAAGTTGGCAGCTAGAGGACCTGAGGAATGTTTTTGAAAAAGAAATTAAGGTGGTTCCTCCTAATGTCAGGAAGGTAATTTTGAAAATCTGTTTAGCCATTTTAACAGGCATTCCTTGAAGTGTGGTTCTACACATATCAAAAGTCCTTGAGGAATATAAAGGATATCAAAGTGGCATGCCTTCAGGGTAACCTGCTAGAGAGGGAAATATTCTTACAAGCTTCAAAGAAAACACCAGGAATGGAAGGCGAAAGCTGTGAAAATTACTTAAGTGCATTTATCGGTTAAAAGAAGCTTCTTGGGTGTGGTAGTTTAGAGTAGGGGTAATTCTATCAATGTTAAAGTGTTCAGAACAGAAAGTGGATCCAACGATATTCTATTGACATTACAATAGAAAATTCTCAGCCATCTTTATGATGCATGTAATGATCATTTTTTTTGTGGGGATAGGTGGATGTGGTGGTGACACCAAAGACTTTCAAGGAGACATTATTAATTGAATTAGGAAAGAATTCCAAACTTGTAGTGATGCTGCTAGAGTTTCCAAATGTGTGGGTTTGGAAATTAATCAGGGTGAGTCAAATGTAATTCTACACCAGGGGTTTTACATGAAAATGTCAATCCAATTGCAATTAGAAGTACCAGATCTGAACAGAAAGATGAAGCTGCTACCAAGAATGAGATGGAACATATGAGAAATCTCACAGGCAGCTCAACTGGTTAGATGGACAGACTAGACCAGATGAAAGATTCATTGTTCTGGAATTTAGTCAGACCATGAAAAATACAAAGGTGGAGAACATCTTCAGACCGAATAAAACTTTTAAAAAAATAGAATATATCCACTTTGGGTGATCCCAAAATATAACTTTAATAATTTTTAGTGAAGTTTGCTTGCAAATCCTGGTGATAGGTTTTCCAGTGTTGGCGGATATGTCAAATTCCTTGTGGGAGAAAATCAAAAAGTTGATTCTTGGCATGGGAGGCAAAGAAAATAAGATCAGCAAAGAGCACATTAGCTACTCAAACTCTGGCTCTTGTTGATGCTATTGATATGGTGTTCTATTTGTCGAAGATCGTGGAGGGATTGAAAAAAAACACAATAGAATGTTACATCAGTATTTGGTCTTTATGGGATAATGTGAGAATAAGCATAGAATAGATATAACCAGTTTAAAGCAAATACTGGAGAGGAGAGAAATCTCTCAGCTTGAGTGGGTTGATATTAGTCATCAGCTATCTGTAAAGGCCCTGCCTTTTTCTTTTTCTATGTTTTCAATTATAGACTGTAGTGATTGGAAAGAGACCAGGTGGATCTCATTGAACTGTGAGATCTTTGATCGGGGCTGTTAACCTGGGAATCCTGGCTGACAGTCCCAATCAAGGATCTCAAAGTCAATAGATCCACTTGGCCATTGTTCCAATCACTACAAGACCAAAATGGAAACAGGACTATTGTAAAGCCAAGGATTGTTGAAAGGTTACTGCAGTTTTTAAAACAGACACTCATTCTAAGCACTGTATACACAGCTGTTGGTTCAAGCAATGATAGGAGAAGGTGCAAATGGGCTTAAGTCAAGGGCGTGTACAAATGGAGATTCAGCTGGCAAAGAGTAACTGATTACTCTGTGGACTATTGACCTATTATCAATGAGAAAGGCTTTCTGCCTGCCAACAAAAATGTGATTTGTTACCAGGTAGCTGAGCAGCTTGAGGTGGTAAACAAGGCAGGGAGAAGTCATGAGATCTCCACCAGCTGTGTCTGTTCTGTGGAGCAAAACCCACTTTAAGTTTGAAGAAAACCATTTCGTTTTTCCTTCATCAGCTGCTGTAAGCTGTGACTCATAATTCATTTTGTAAATCCGAACCAGTCACCCTGTGCCTCCAGCAAATCAGTGAAAGCATCCAGAGCAGGGAGACCATGAAGCAGCATTCTGATCAGCACAAGAACTTTTTCAGTAGATCCTGTACACAGGGTTCACTGAACTGCTTTCCTAGTTTCCCCATAGCGCTTTTGCCCCCAGTATGTGTTGTGACAATACCAAGGCTTTAAGAGGTGTGTTTTGTCCTAAAATTTATTGTGAAGAGAGGGTGAGATGGAGGTGACAAGGGTCTCTTCCAAACCAATAAAGTAAACAGCTTGTGAGGCCTTGCATTTTTTAAAAAGTTGGAACAATAAAAGCAGCATGAATGGGTGGAGTCAGGGTTCCACAGAATCAGGATTTTAGTTTAGCTTTCAGTGGTTGCTGGAGTTTTGAACCAGCATACATCTCTTCCTTCTACAGCTTGATGCTTGAATTCTTCCTCTGTCAGAATTTTCTCTTGATGTTCTTTCCTCCTGGACCAGAAAAACATTGCATGTGAGATAATCTATTTTACTGAATTTGCCTTTGCCAAGGTTGTGTTCATGGGACGATTTTCCATATTGTAACAGTTGCTGGTGAGTAGTTAAATAATTTATTATTCTGTTAATAGAGGTAAAGTTATACCAATTATTTTTCCTTTGTTTGTATTTTAAGTGTATGATAAAATTAAGTGTGTTTTGCTTAAAGCTGAGTAGTGTAACCAATCAAATTACTCCAGAACCCAGCACCTTAAACTGACCATTAAATAAGATAAAAGTTGGGGCCTTGCTATCTCCTTGACATATTTGAAGGGTATGCGGTCGGGTCAGAGTTTTAACTACATGCCAAAGGTTGATAATGGTTTACCTGTAACTAGCGTCCATTTACCTGTAATAGATGGTGATTCTTGTTAAGTACTAAATCTAGTTTGTGCTTTCTGTCAACCTGGGTCAGAAAATCAGTTAATTTATATGTTCCTGTATAAATATAGCTTATATTTCTTAAAAGGAAGATATTCTGTCAGTATTTGAGATGCAGGTCCCTTTAAGAATCAAACACGGCATTGAGTCTGTATCACTTATACTAGTCCCATTTTCCAGAACTAGACCAAGAATGTTATGGCATTTCAAGTGCTCATCCAAGTACTTTTTAAAGGATGTGAGGTTACTCACCTCAAGTACTCTCCCAGGCAGTGCATTCCAGAACCCTATTATACTCTGGATGAAAATATTTTGTCTCAAGTGCTAAACCTCCTGCCTTTCACTTTAAAATTATGACCCCTTGTCACTGACCCTTCAACTAAGGGAACAACTGCTTTCTACCCACCTGGTCCATGCCCCTCATAATCTTATACACCTCTTTCAGGGCCCCTCTCAACCACCTCTCCTCCAAATAAAACAGCTTGAGAATCTCTTCATAGCTAAGATGCTCCATTCCAGGCAGCCTCTTGGCAAATCTCCTATGCACCCCCTCCAGTGCAAGCACATCCTTCATATAGAGCAAAGAGTCATAGACTCATTGAGATGTACAGCATGGAAAAACACCCTTCAGACCAACTCATCCACGCAGACCAGATATCCTTGACAAATCTAGCCCCATTTGCCAGCATTTGGCCCATATCTCTCCAAACTCTTCCTATTCATATACCCATGCAGATGCCTTTTAAATGTTGTAATTGTACCTGCCTCCACCATTTCCTCTGACAATTTATTTCATACACGCACCACCCTCCGCATGAAAAAGTTGCCCCTTAGGTCTCTTTTAAATCTTTTCCCTTGCATCTTAAAACTATGGATTCTCTCACCCCTATTTACCCTATCCATGCCCCTTATGATTTTATAAACCTCTATAAGATCACCCCTCAGCCACTGAGGCTCCAGGGAAAATAGCCCCAGCCTTTTCAGCCTGTCCATAAAACACAAACCCTCCAACCCTGACAACATCCTTGTAAATCTTTTCTAAACCCTTTCAAGTTTCACAACATCCTTCCCACAGCAGGGAGACCAGAATTGCATGCAATACTCTAACAGTGGCTGAACCAATGTCCTGTACAGCTGCAACATGACCTCCCAACTCCTGTACTCTATGGACTGACCAATAAAGGCAAGCGTACCATACGCCTTCTTCACTATCCTATCTACCTGTGACTCCACTTTCAAGGAACTATGAACCTGCACTCCAAGGTCTCTTTGTTCAGCAACACTCCTCAGGACCTTACCATTAAGTATATAAGTCCTGCCCTGATTTGCCTTTCCAAAATGCAGCGCCTCACATTTATCTGTACACAGTACTCCAGCGGTGGCCCAACCAAAATCCTGAACAGCTCCAGTACAACCTCCCTGCTCTTATAATCTATGCCTCGACTGCTAAAGACAAGTGAGCTACATGCCCTCTTAACTACCGCATTAGCCTGTCCTGCCACCTTTGGGAATCTGTGGGCAAGCATCCTAAGATCCCTCTGTTCTTTGGAGCTTCCTAGTGCCCTACCATTCATTGAGTACTCCCCTGTTTGTTAATAATTCCACAGATTCATGACCTTCTGAGAGGAAAAATTCTTCCTTGTTTCTGTCTAAAATGTGCAGTCCCTTGTTCTGAGATTATGGCCTCTGGTCCTAAACTCTCCCACAAGTGGAAATAACATTTTTGCATCTACCTTGTCAAATCCTCTACAAATCTTGGATGTTTCAATAATGTCACCTCTCATTCTTCTGTATTCCAAGGACTACAAGCCCAACCTACTCAAGGTCTCCACATAAGACGGTCCCTCCATATCTGGGATCAGACTAGTGAATATTCTCTGGACCCCCCCTGCAATGCACTATATCTTAGATAAAGGTCCCAAAACTGTTTACAGTATTCTAACTGTGACTTGACTAGGGCCTAGTAAAGTTCTGGAAAAACCTCACTAATTTTTATACCCCATTCTATTTGCCTTCTCTATTATCCACTGAACTTGGATGCTAGTTTTTTTGTGATTCAAGGATGAGGATTCCCAAATCTCTCTGTTCTGTAGTTTTTTGCAGTCTTTCTCAATTTGGATAATATTCACCTCCTCTATTGTTCCTGCCAAGTGCGAAAGCTGATGTGTCTGCACATTATATCCCATCTGCCAAGCTGTTGCCCATCCATTTAACATGTCTATATCCCTCTTCAGACTCCTTGTATTATCCTCACCCTGTGCCTTCCCACCTGTTTTTGTCTCATCTGCAAGCTTGAGTATAGTACATCCAAGTCATTAATAATTGTGACCCCAGTAGAACTCTGTGGCACATTACTAGTTACAGGCTAAAAATGTCCCCCTACTCTCAATCCTATCTTATATTAGTTAGCCAATCCTTTATCCATTCTAATACTTTACCTCCAAAACCATGAGCTTTTATCTTATTAAGTAACCTAATGTGTGATGTCCTCTGAAAATCCAAATATATTATATCCACTGCTTACTCCATCCTGCTTGTTACCTCCTTAAAGTATTTCAGTAAATGATTTCCCCTTCATAAAGTCATGCTGACTCTGCTTGATCACATGATGTAGTTCTAAATGGTCCGTGATTACATCCTTTACAATAAACTTTAACATTTGTTTCCTTAAGCTAACTGGCCTATAGTCACCTGTGTTTTTTTTGTTTGTTTGTTTGTTTTTCTTTTTAGATAAAGGTGTTACTTTGGCAGTTTTCCAATCCTATGGGACTTTCCAGAATCTATGGATTCCTGAAGATCACTATCAGTGCATGCACTATCTCTGAAGCTACTTTCTTTAGTATCCTTGAAGGCATCCCATCAGGTCCAGGGGACTTATCAATCTTTAGCTCCATTATTTTCCCTAGCATGTTCTTTTCTCTAGTGATAGTTATTATATGTAATTATTCACCCTCCATTTGAAAATTTTGTGATGATATTAGTATCTGCTACTGTGCAGACTGATGCAAAGTATTTATTCAAATTATTTGTTATTTCCTTATTCCCCATTATTACTTCCCCAGCCACATTCTCTAAGAGGGCTATCTTTACTTTGGGTTCTCTCTTACTCCTTATTTTTTAAAGAAGCTCTTGCCCTCCATCTTGGCATTACTTGTGAGATTAATCTCAAAGATTATTTTCTCCCTCATTATTATTTTCTTATTTTCTTTTATGGATTTTTAAAACTTTCTCAATCCCAGATAGGATAGTGAAGAAGGCGTTTAGTATGCTCACCTTTATAGGTCACTGCACTGAGTATAGAAGTTGAGAGGTCATGTTGTGGCTGTACAGGACATTGTTTATGCCACTTTTAGAGGGCTGTGTGCAATTCTGGTCTCCCTCCTGTAGGAAGGATGGTATGAAACTAGAAAGGGTTCAGAAACGATTTAGAAAGATACTGGCAGGGTTGGAGGGTTTGAATTATAGGGAGAGGTTAAATAGGCTGGGGCTATTTTGCCTGGAGAGTCGGAGGCTGAGGGGTGACCTTATAGAGGTTTATAAAATCATGAGGGGCATGGTTAGAGTGAATAGCCAATGTAGGGGAGCCCAAAAATAGGGGGCATAGGTTGAAGTGGAGAGGGGAAAGAGTTAAAAGGGACCTGAGGGGTGACTTTTTCATACAGAGGATGGTGTTTATATGGAACAAGCTGCCAGAGGAAGTGTTGGAGGCTGGCACAATTACAGCATTTAAAAGTTATCTAGGAAGGGTTTAGAGGGATAAGGGCCAAATGCTGGCAAATGGCACTAGATTTATCTAGGATATCTGAGCGGCATGGACTTGTTGGACTGAAGGGTCTGTTTCTGTGCTGTATCTGCCTCTGACTCCATGACTGTCTCTCAATACACGCTGTAAAGATAGCTTTTTTACTTTTGGATTTTTTATGGGATGTTATTGATGGATGTGTATATCTGATGGGAAGCTATAAAGAACCACAAAAAAATGTCATTATCTTTTTATCTTAGATTATCTTATATTGTTTTAAGGAAGTGAGGGTAAAATTGTTGATAATACCAGTGCAGATATTTTTGATATTTTTTAGAATACCATTTTATGTCTGGTTAAGTGTGTCTAATTCAACAGTACTTCATTGGTTGTAATCCATGTGCTGGTCAGATTGTTAGTGATAATTTCTCTTAACTTACATTCAGTGTTTGCGTGCACACAAGCTGTTCTTCCATGAAGCACAGAGATTTGCGGCTCCTGACAAAGATAAACAAATCTATTATGGCAAGGAAAATGTCACATTGTTTTCTTACAGGACAAACCCATGATCCCCGAGCCGGAGAATATTTATGCAAAGCTTCTGGAAAAGGTAAAGGAAACTACTGTCAGAATGAAGAACTTAAAAAGAGATATAATTTTAAAATATAAACAAATGTTTCAGTTCTCACAAATGTATGTATTTTTGCATTTCTTTTTTACCAGGTTTCTCCAGAGGTACCTGCTTTCACCTATCTTTGCACCAGGAGTAAAATGAGAGAGTAGGAGATGCATTGTACACCTCTAATTGTGTCCAGATGAATAGTTACTCCAGTTATAGCGTTGCTGATTGCCCACTTCAGGCAGAAATTTATGTGTCCATTGAGGATAGTTAATGTTGATTGATGAAGTCAGTACTCTCTTTTCTATGTAAACTCGATGTTAATGATTAGAAACTCCATAAGCTAACATTTTGCCACACTTTCAGAGCTCAGGGTGAGAAGTAAAAGATGTGTCCTGACAGGAAGATAAGTCTTTCGACATAATTGTAACTTAATCCACTCAGTGAGGAACTTTCAGGATTGGATTGGCTGCCCATTACACAGCCCACTCAGTTTCATTGTCCGTTCGCTGATGTGTATAACAGACAGGCATGCCAATCCTGTCAGTTTCTTGCTGAGTAGTTTGTCTTAAAATAAACTATGTTTTGCAGAGATTTTTTCTTCCAAAAGAGCATTGATCATTAGGACAGGGTTGTCCTGATTTTACCTTTAACTTATTGGGTTGGTATTGGACTTTGGCCTGCTGTCTTGACCTTGTTATGACTTTGACCCAACATCCGTGTTGAGACATTTATACCGTCCCAGTCCAGAATTCCACTAGCAAGTGGCAACTTACCTGCAGCTAACAGGAATTGTTGGTGCTGATGTGCGTCAACAAATGTAGCAGCAGAAGAGGTAGGAGTGAAATTAAAGGTATATAAGATCCATGAAGACTACAAGGAATCATCAACAGTATTCCTTAACCTCAGTGAAAGAAGATGTTGCAACCAAACAATTTGCTTCCATTTGTTACTTTAGCTGTCATTCCCAACGCTATCCCTGGTAAACTTGCAAGCCTTATCTGGAAGTCCCTAGGAGTTATAGAAACAGGAACGGACAGAAGGGAAATAAGCTGAGAACATGTTCCTATCCTTACTTATTATTGTCAGGGGCTGATGAAAGGGATGTCAGTGATATTCCTAGTGCGTGTAGTGGGAGGAAAATTGATGTTATGGTGGTGAGGCACATAATTTTACCCAAATTTTTGTTGGAGAATATGGTTGTACTACCTTGAAATTTATTTGCCCTATAAATTGGTTGCTTTTTTATGTCAAACAATTTTTTTCATGAATTGCAGCTAAATTACTATGGTAACAAAACGTTTATCCTTCTCAAATAATTATTTTACTCAGGTATAGTGTGGATAATTTGCAGTACATTAGCTATCTATATCATTCAAAACTATACCCATTTCCAATTATTGCTGTAGAGGTCTGATGTTTGTGATATTTACATCGATGGTAAGTATGATTAATTTTATTTGCAGATCTTGGAAAATGCATTGAAATAAATATTTACCAATCTACCCAATATAAACAGTAAAAGATTCCTTTTATAATCAGGAACATACTGGATACTTTTAACAATATGATGTGTTATTTAAATTGGGTCCTTCGTTATAATTTTTTTTAAGGATTTGCCAATATTATTGTACTAAAACCATTAAGTCTATGATTAGAGATATGTCGATATATATGAGTTTCCGAACGTTTTGTTTAAGTTGGAAACTTTCAAGGAAAAACTGATTTAATGATGCCTGCTGTCTGTTCACAGGGAAATAAAAACCCAAAATAGGCACCAGATCCAGGAGAAATGTCCTCATAGTCTGTTAAAAATTATCCAGTATTTAATACAGTGTCCACATTCTCCTAAATCCTGGCAGCCAAGCTGTAATGAGTAATTTAAATTCAAACTAACCAAACTTCTGTAGAACCAATGCTTTAGCAACAGAGGAGTGAACCAAAAATGGAAGTAAACTATGCATGTGAAATACTTGATGTATGTAGCACATATTGGACATCGATCATAACTTAAAATGTAGAAACCTCCCACGCTACAGTCACCTCAAATGACACATGGTATTTTATCTGAGCACATCTTTCACAGATTTTTGTTCCAGCTGAATTTCTCTATAACCTAAAATTCCAATGACTTCGTGCAGAGTTCCTGGAAGAAGTGGAGCAACTCTGAAAGAAGTCCAGCATTTTTATTCAATGTTTTAAGGCCCTTTATGAACTCAGTCCTTATCAGAATATAACTTTGTGAAACATTCTTCAATTGATCCAGATCCTAATCTTTACCAATCTGTCACTGATAAGGTTTTGTATCCAATTCCTCGTGCCCTTTATAGTATTTACGTTTATTATGTTTAGTATTAGTAGGAGTAAGATATATTTTATTTCAGACTAAAAGAAGATAAGAAGAAGCTGGTGCTATTTGAATCAGAACAGACCATTTCTCTGTCCTGATGATGAACCACTGGACTTGAAACATTAACTCTGCTTTCTTCGCATAGATGCTGCTAGATCTGCTGAGTTTTGCCTGCAATTACTGTTTTGCTCCTATGCCTCCTATGTTTTAAGACGAGGGAAAATTGTAATGAAATAATCAGCAACATTAAAAGAGTTTTCAATAATTTAGAAAAAAGTCACACAACTGAGACCTATGATGGGTAACAATTTAGAGTAAACTTTATCATGTCTATAATAGATCCCAAAAGCAAGAAAATGCATTTATGGCTAAGTACTCAAAATTACCCCCAGTATTTAACTTCCCAAACAGTACCTTGCTAAATACTAAGAAGAGTTTTAAAAAAGCTTAAGCTTCGATTAAAATTAAGGAAGTCACCTCTTTTGTTTGAAAATCGTATCAGTGAATCAGGAAGGAGTGGTGAGATTCAATTCATGGAATAGTTCAGAAGAAAAAGGAAGCAGATTTTGTTCCATGGTTGCTTAAGAATTTGAAAATTAGGTAGAGATTGTCAGCATTTCTCCGCACTATCCAGTCTAACAACTGAAATTCAGCACAGATGACTCTGAACTCAAGTGTCAGCTTCTTTTTAAACTGGAACCTTCAAACACTGCAAAAATGAACTGCTCAGGAACCTGTTTGAGGCCTTCTTAACTAGTGGTCACTGCAGGGAATTGTGTGTCTGATAGTCAATCGAGTTATTTTGCCCCTTTTAAATTCAAATTTATGATAAATTATTTTATTGGTTGTGTCTTTTTAAAACAAGGAGACGTGGAAATTTGTTTCTTTGTGTCATCTTTATGGATCAAGCAAAAAGACACAGCGTCACACAAAAGTTTTCATTAAGTAGCCTATGAGAAAAATATACTTTTGCAAAGCTTTGATATTCAAGTTAAGAGTGACTTGCAGCAATTGAAATGAAAAGCATATCTGCTGTAATATGAAAATATAGGAGTCACAACGGTAACAAAATCCATAGGAAAATAAGTTTAAGGTGGGATAGAATTAAAAATAACTCCTGCTATGAACGCTAAATATCTTGATAGCTGTAAACTGACAGGAAACTCTAAATTTTAAAGGTGTAAATACTCTGAGAATAATTTGAAGTCATTTCAGTATGAATTTTAATGTGTAGAAAACAAAGAATATGAAATAATTCTCCACATTATTTTCACAATTGATGGTTGCAAAGTGCTTTAAGCTGTTCTGAGAATGTGACCTTAAATGATGTAAGTACAAGATTTTCCTTTCTATTCTATCTTATTTGTCATAATGTTTGTGATAAATAGCCCATTAATGAAGTCCATTGGACAACTCATGATAAATGTTACATGTGTTACAACAGATAGCTAGGCGGTGAAAGATGGAACTGGAATCCAGTATTCATATGCTTACAAGCTTTCCACTTGCAGAGTTGCAAATTACACTTTGTACAACCAAATCAATATCCTTGGTTTCTGTCCATGAGCATAGGAGAATCCCCAGTTAATACCCACTTCCTGAATATAATCAAATACCCAATTAGTTTACAATTAACATATGGTTGATGACAACCTTTGTGGTGCAATATTTTAACAGACTGCCAGCCAGCACATGTTCCTATTCCTAACTCATGGCAAGAATTCAAAGGAGAGAAATTAATAGCATCAAAGTTGCCATCAAAATAGTAGAGAGACTTTGTGCTTGCCAATACTTTGTGCAAATACAACAGCAACTTCAGGCGAGCACACATGCATGATCAAATAAAGACATTAAAGAGTTACAGCTTTTAGACCAATATGTTTGATGTTCTTGTACCCCAAAACGTTGTTGAAATTACTTTATCATTCTACTTTATCTTTCTCTGTAATGGTTCCAGCAAAATTGTAAACATTCATTTCAAAACATGTTTATGACTTTGCCATAATCTTGCAGAGAAGAAATTTTTAAGAATTTATTTTCAATTGTATTTTTTCATGTAGACATTTATGTAAGGTCATTGAAACATAAAAAAGAATAAAAATTGGAGCAGTAATAGATTATTCCACCAATAAGCCCACTCCATCATTCAATATGATCATGTCTGATCCTCTACATCAATGCTATATGCTCATTCTTTCCCCAAACCCCTTGATGTGTTTAGTGTCTAGAAACCTATCTATTTCTTTTTTAAATATTTTCAATAATTTGACCTCAACGGCTTTCTTAGGTTCACCGCTCTCCTCATTTCAGTCTTAAATAGCCGACAACATATCCTAGGACCATAACCCCTTGTTCTGGATCTCCAGGTCAGGGTAAACATCATCACTACATCTAGTCTGTCTGGCCCTGTCAGAGGCCCTTTCATGGGAGCCCCTTTTATCCTTCCAAAGTCCAGTGAATGTAAACTCAGTTGATCCAATCTCTCCTTTTACCTGCAATCTCAGAATCAGTCAGTGACCTCTTGCAGCA